ATTTGAACCCGCCACCTTGGGTGTACGTGGCTGGCGCCTTAGCCACTTAAGCCACAGGCGCCAAGCCTGTACCTTATTTTATAATTTAACAGATATCTCTTGATAGAAATTTAGGTTGTTTAGAGATTTTTGTTATTATATGCAGCGTTGCAGTTTCCATAATGTTATAATTTGGTCTTCTCTGATGGCTAAATGCCTAAAAATAGAATTGCGGGTTTCAAAGATGATACACATTGTTGCTCAGCTAGAGGATGCCACATTACCCTCTGTGAAGTTTCTTTTTTCTTTCTTTTTTTTTTTTTTTTTTTTGAGGCAGTCTCACTATGTTGCCCTAGGTAGAATGCCACGGCATCACAGTTCATAGCAACCTCCAACTCTTGGGCTTAAGTGATTCTCTTGCCTCAGCCTCCCGAGTAGCTGGGACTATAGGTGCCCACCACAACACCTGGCTATTTTTTTGTTGCAGTTGTCATTGTTGTTTAACAGGCCTGGGCCTTGTTTAAACCCACCAGCTTGGGTGTATGTGGCCGGTGCCCTACCCACCAAGCTATGGGCACTGCCCCCAGTGAAGTTTCTTGTCAAACCAAGTTTTTCATCTTTGGTACCTACAGCTGTTTTGAGTGGCTTTTCAAGATTTGAATCATAAGTGAAGCTCTGCATCCTAGGCAACAGAACAAGGCCTCATCTCTACAAAAAATTAAAAAATTAGCCTGATGTAGTGTTGTATGCCTGTAGTCCCAGCTACTGGGAAGGGTGAAAGGAGAAGGATCGCTTGAGTTCAGGTGGTCAAGGTTATAATGATCTGTGGTCGGGCCAGTGCACTGTAGCCTAGGTAACAGGGCAAGATCTTGTCTCTTAAAAAAAAAAAGTGGGACGGCCCCTGTGGCTCAGAGGAGTAGGGCACTGGCCCCCCACTGGAGGTGGCGGGTTCAAACTCAGCCCTGGCCAAAAATTGCAAAAAAAAAAAAAATGTGGAGCTCTGCTGAAAATAGAGCCCAATGGCCCATCTGGGGTGGACTAGAATAGGACATGGGGAGGGAGTTGTGTTTCTGCCTTAAAATCCAAATCAAATAGTTTTTTTATTTGTTTTTTGAGACAGAGTCTTAGTTTGTCACCCTGGGTAGTGAGCTGTTGCATCATGGCAACCTCAAACTCTTGCACTCAAGCAGTCCTCTTGCCTCAGCCTCCCTAGTTGCTTGGACTACAGGTGCCTGCCACAACATCCAGCTAGTTTTTCTATTTTTGGTAGAGACAGGTCTTACTCTTGCACAGGGTGGTCTGGAACTCCTGAGCCCAAGAAATCCCTCTGCCTCAGCTTCTCAAAGTGCTAAGATTGCAGACGTGAGCTACCATGCCCAGCCAAATCAAATAATTTTGGATTACTCAAAAGGCCACAGTCAGATAGCTCTAAGTCTTTATATCCACAGGCTTTTGTTTTTGTTTAATTATTTAACAGAATCCCACGGACATATCTTATGTGTACAGTGGTTATGCACCGCTTAGTGTGCGGCTGGCTCAGCTGCTCTCCCGGCCTGGCTGGCGGAGTATCGAGGAGGTCCTCCGCATACTCCCAGGGCCCCACTTTGAAGAACGGCAGCCATTACCCACAGGACTGCAAAAGAAACGTAAGTCTCCAGTCTAGAATCTACAAATAATTATGTATCATATATGTGATATCATGTATTGTGTAGCGCTTTTTAAAATACACTGGTAAAGCACTTAGGAGTCAGAGTCAGATGCACCTCTTTTGTTAGGTGCTAATATATATATAGTAAGCACTAAAACCATACTGTTCCCTCCAGGAGTAGCAGTTTTTACCCTCTGCATTTAGAATCTCAGGCATTAGAGAAAACATTGAAATAAAAATCAGTGATTCTGAGTTTCAAATGAACTGTCTATGTCAAGATACATTTGACTTTTTTCTTATGATAAAATGTCTTCAGAGGTGGGAAGAGAAACACCAATAATACATAGTATTTGGGGTAGCACCTGTGGCTCAAAGGAGTAGGGTGCCGGCCCTGTTTGCCAGAGGTGGTGGGTTCAAACCCAGCCCCCGCCAAAAACTCCAAAAAAAAAAAAATACATAGTATTTAATTCTGAAATATTTAAATTTTAGGTCAACCAGGAGAAAACCGAGTCACTCTGATATTTTTCCTTGGTGGGGTAACCTTTGCTGAAATTGCTGCCCTGCGATTTCTCTCCCAGCTGGAAGATGGAGGTACAGAATATGTAATTGCCACAACTAAACTAATAAATGGAACCAGTTGGATAGAGGCTCTAATGGAAAAACCTTTCTAGGGTGTTCAAAGGAGACATAACAAGTGTAATGCAGAATAAACTGCCTTTTTGAAGTTGCTGAAATGAAGTGAAATCTCATAGAAGAAACACAGGAATAGTTTACTTTGGAGTCAGCTTCTTAAATTACACCACTGTCTTCTACTTCTCTTTTGCATTGTAATTTCTTGAAGAAGGAAGAATAGAAGAGGATCAACCTGGGTAAAAGAAACACTGGTTTTAAGTTTTCTAAGCTCAGGATCTTCATTAGAGGCTTCTGGAAATGCATTACGGATGGTAGGGATGGATGATCTATATAGCCACACAAATGGAGCCAGTTCTTAAAATAACCAATCTGAGATTGGAGAAGTAAAAATGAAAATAAAAGTAGAATGGCCACTCCTAATACACATCATGCCTAGGACAGAAGTTAAAATGTCAGGAACTAGAGGTAATGTTATCACTGAGTTTTCTTTTTCCTGTAAAGCATGCCAGATTATATTTAAGGTCACTGGTCTCTATCTTAACTGATCATTAAGGCAAGTTTTGCTTATACTACTTCTTACAAAGCAAGACGTTTGGGGGAGCTTCTTGCCCAGAAGTTTATGCTCTGTCTGATCAGCTACGTTTATGTAGCTTCCATAGTTATCAAGGACTTTTTACATTGAAGAATGTAATAATTGAGGAGCAACTTACTGAGACCATTAGGGTACGTGTTATTAACTCTGGGATGGGTGCCTCCATTGAGGTTTCCATTTTCTTTTCTATCCATTATGGGTCCAACTTTAGCTGGTCCCACTCTGAGCAGTGCTAACTCTTGCTACTTCATCATCCTATAACTGTCTCCATGGCAACTGCCGCATGTACTTCACTAACAGTCTGCGGCCACTGTGTACCCAGCCTCTTGCATCTGTGAAACATATAGCTCTATTTCAGTCCCTGGTCTGTGACCTCAGTCTTCTCTGGCATATTGCATCAATAATCTCGGAGTCCTAACAGCCATAGCTGCCGCTCCTGCAGGAAACTATCAAGCTACAGTAGAGAGCAGGGGTATTGGTGGAGAAGTTGGAAAACTATGTGCTCCCTGCCTCCCTCGTGGTCTATCCCAGTGTCTGGAGGAGTTAAGGGTACCAAGGAGGAGACCAAGTCAAATTGATGGCCTCACTGCCCAAATCTCCCATCAAAAATATAGCTAGAGTCCTGCTTTGCCCTGTCCTGTCCAGGTGTGGTTTCTGTTGTTAATTAGTAACCACACATTGTTTGTCCTCACCTTTCTCTTTTTTTTGAGACAGAGCTTCAAGCTGTTGCCCTGGGTAGAGTGCCATGGCATCACAGCTCACAGCACCCTGCAACTCCTGGGCTCCAGCGATTCTTCTGCCCCTGCCTCCCAAGTAGCTGGGACTATAGGCACCTGCCACAACACCCGGCTGCTTTTTGGTTGCAGCCATCATTGTTGTTTGGCAGGTCCAGGCTGGATTTGAACCCGCCAGCTCTGATGTATGTGGCTGGAGCCTTAGCTGCTTGAGCCACAGGCGCTGGGCCATCCTCACCTTTCTCATTAGTGAAATATTTATGGGCACACTGTATATTATGAGTGAAAGAGAAATTCTGTATTTTTTTTAAAAACAGTATTACAAGAGTAAAATGTGGCAGGGGGAAATAGTTAAAAGATTTGTTTCTTGTGATTTGGCCTTGACATTCAGTATTTGAAAATGTCTTAAAACCATTTTTTGGGGGGGGTGGGGGGAAGGGACAGAGTCTCAAGCTGTTGCCCTAGATAGAGTGCTATGGTGTCACAGCTCACAGCAACCTCCAACCTCCAACTGTTGGGCTTAAATGATTCTCTTGCCTCAGCCTCCTGAGTAGCTGGGAATACAGGCACCTGCCACAATGCCTGGCTATTTTTTTTGTTGCAGTTGTCATTGTTGTTTCAGCTAGCCCTGGCCGGGTTCAAACCCACCAGCATTGGTGTATGTGGCAGCACCCTACCCTCTGAGCTACAGGCATCACCAAGAAAACCACTCTTGTTTTGAAAATCCTTTTTCAAATACTTATTATCCCAGGGAGATTAGTTTATACTTCTAGTTCCAGCAGTTGTCAGCCTCAGCTGCTTTAGAGAATGAAATCCACCTTTTCCCTCTGTGCTTTTGGCTCATGGGATTCAATTCATTCTGGTCAGGTCTCTGTGGCTGGGGTTTTTGTCCTATGAACAGATACTCAGTTGTGGTCTCATGTGTCTGCATTCACTTGTGATTCTATACTTGCTTGCTCAGAGCATAGCTAGGTCAGCTCCTAAAAATGTATTCAGTAGAAGACTTTAAAACATCAATTGTTTCATTTTTATGCAAATAGAAAATGGTAAATAATTATATATTATACACCTTTGTATAAGTTCATTTAATACTTGAAGCAGTCTTTGTCTCAAAGGAGTATACCCTTACTGAGAAAGGATATGTGAATGGTACATTTATTCTTGGAGAGGGTGGATTGTTTACATCATGTCTGGACTTTTGTCTAGTTGGGTAGACATTACTGCTGCCCCAGAAGTCCCCTTAATAAAGAAGTCTACACAGACACTGTTTTATGTCTTGCTATACAGTTTTGAATTTTAGCCAACAGAGAAAGAAGTATTTTGTAGTTTAATTGTGGAACAAGAGAGTAATGGTTGAAAGAGGGGCAATTAAAAAGAGCACATTTGGAGAGAACTGGAAAGATCTCAATGTGAGTTCTGTTCCATTCTAGCTCTGCTATCACTGGAAATGAACTATGATTAATCATGACATGCTGGAATGTGTGTTGTTGTCAATTGTTCATTAAAAAGTAGCCTGTCAGGCAGCGCCTGTGGCTCAGTGGGTAGGGTGCCAGCCCTGTATACCGGGGGTAGTGGATTCAAACCCGGCCCCAGCCAAACTGCAACAAAAAAATAAATGGGCATTGTGGCAGGTGCCTGTAGTCCCAGCTACTCCGGAGGCTGAGGCAAGAGAATCACCTAAGCCCAGGAGGTTGTTGTCAGCTATGTGACGCCACAGTACTCTACTGTGGGCAATGAAGTGAGACTCTGTCTCTACAAAAAATAAATAAAAGGTAGCTTGTCACCAGGAGAAAGTATATTTAGCAGAGTTGAATTCAAGAAGAAATATTTTTTGTTGTTGTTGAGACAAGAGTCCTACCCTATGCCCTGAGCAGAGTGCAATGGCCTCACAGCTCAATGCAACCTCAGACTCAGGCTGTGGGCATCCTGCTGCCTCAGCCTCCAGAAGCCACTGGGATTATAGGCACTCACTGTGGTGCCCAGCTGGGTTTTTCATTTTTTTAGGAGTCAGATCTCTCTCTGGCTCAGGCAAGTCTCAAACTCCTGAGCTCAAGCAATTCTCCCTCCTTAGCCTCCCACAGTGCTGGGATTACAGGCATGAGGCACTATGCCCAGTGAAGAAATACTTTTTTAAAAATACCAAAATGGGGCCGGCGCCTGTGGCTCAAGCAGCTAAGGCGCCAGCCACATACACCTGAGCTGGTGGATTCAAATCCAGCCCGGCCGCCAAACAATGACAGCTGCAACCAAAAAATAGCTGGGTGTTGTGGCAGGCGCCTGTAATCCTAGCTACTTGGGAGGCAGAGGCAGGAGAATTGCTTGAGCCCATGAGTTGGAGGTTGCTGTGAGATGTGATGCCACAGCACTCTACCCAGGGTGACAGTTTGAGGCTCTGTCTCAAAAAAAAAAAAAAAGGGCAGTGCCTGTGGCTCAATGAGTAGGGCGCCAGCCCCATTATACTGAGGGTGGCAGGTTCAGACCCGGCCCTGGCCAAACTGCAACCAAAAAATAGCCAGGTGTTGTGGCAGGCGCCTATAGTCCCGGCTACTTGGGAGGCTGAGGCAAAAGAATCACTTAAGCCCAGGAGTTGGAGGTTGCTGTGAGCTGTGTGATGTTGTGACACTCTACCAAGGGTGATAAAGTGAAACTCTCTTTACAAAAATAATAATACCACGGGCTTGGTGCCCGTAGCACAGGGGTTACGGCGCCAGCCACATGCACCGAAGCTGGCAGGTTCAAGCCTGGCCCAGGCTAGCTAAGCAACAATGACTACAACAAAGAAAAAAAATAGCTGGGCACTGTGGCGGGCACATGTAGTCCCAGCTATTTGCGAGGCTGAGGCAAGAGAATCCCTTAAGTCCAAGAGTTAGAGGATGCTGTGAGCTGTGATGCTACAGCACTCTACCCAGGGCAACATAGTGAGACTCTGTCTCCGAAAAAAAAAAAAAAGGAAAATGCGCTAGTTTCTAAAGCAGACAGAGATGGGCTTTAGATTGGATTTTACCATAGAATCTAATGTATTCAGTCGTATGATTTAATGACATACTATAGAAAATAAGAGGACCCCTTTTTGTCACATGACAAAAAGGCAGTAATGTAGGATTTGTGAGATTCTCGTATTTCTAAACGGATTCATGTGAATTTCAATCCATGTGGTGATTCTTAGCTTCATTTACTGTTGCTGTATAATATACTCAAAATTGGACAGTGACAAGAGGTTCAAAGGATAAAAAACAAAATTGCCTTGAGATATCCATTTAGGGCAGCGATTCTCAACCTGTGGGCCACAGCATTAGGAAAGTTGAAAATCACTGATTTCGAGGATGTGAGAATTAAAAGGGAACAGGATCAAGCCTTTTTTTTTTTTTTTTTTTTTGAGACAGAGTCTCAAACTGTCCCCCTGTGATGCCATGGCATCACAGCTCACAGCAACCTCAAACTCTTGGGCTTAAGTGATTCTCTTGCCTCAGCTGCCCAAGTACCTGGGACTGCTGGCTCCCGCCACACACCTGGCTATTTGGCAGGCCGAGCTGGATTCAAACCCGCCAGCTCCGATGTATGTGGCTAGCACCCCAGCCGCTTGCGCTATAGGCGCCGAGCCCAGGCCTATTTTTAATAGGTTGTTTCATCCATTACTTTGGTGTGGGATGAGAGTATAAATCTCAGTCATACTTTCTTTCCTGTGACTAGGGAGGATATGGAAGCCCTTCAGATGACCAATTCTCTAAGGGAGCAATTACTACTCACTGGCTTCCTGAGCAGCTCAATGATGTTCTGCTCCTGTTTTCAACCAGGCTGAAGTCGAGGCAATGATTTGATAATAAGAGATCCTGATTAAATTAAGGAGCCATTTGTTTCTGGATGATGATGTTGATAAAAGGGTTCATGTTCATGCTGCTTGCTTTTTCAAAAAACAACTTTAACAAAAAAGACTACAACAAGCAGAATGATCAGAAGCAACATAAAGTTGATTTCTTTTCCTTCATTGTTACATCTGGGAAAGTGTTCTTTGCAGAAATCCCAACTGGCTCTTTTTGCCTCACGTTTGGAGGAGGTAAAATTGGCAGCAGGCACATTGGGAAGGTGCCTCTCTGTATAATGAGTCTGTAAACTGCTAAACACTTGTGTAAATTAGAACCTAGCATTCAGGAGCTCTCAGGTCTCTTAGCTTGGTTTTCACACAACAAGCATGCTTATACTTGCTTTTTTTAGACAGGGTCTCACTTTGTCACCCTCAGTAGAGCACTCTGGTGTCACAGCTCACAGCAACCTCAAACACTTGGGCTCAAGTGATCTTTTTGCCTCAGCCTCCTGAGTAACTGGGACTACAACAGGTGTCTGCCAATACACCCAGCTGTTTTTACAGACAGGGTTTTGGCTCTTGCTCAGACTGGTCTTCAACTCCTGAGGGCAAGCAGTACACCTGCCTCAGCCCACACTCAGAGTAGATTGGGACTGCTCTTGATGTTTGCTAGAAAAGGTGGTATTTTGCCTATAGGTAGGTGGCCTACCTATAGTGTTTATAAAAGCAAGACAAAAAGGGGTTTGAAACACCACCTAGTGTACCTCCTGGTCAGCTCATCTGAGTCAGGAGCTTTGCAAACCACGGCTGAATCCCGTTGTCTATGGTGGTGACACAGGCGGAGAGTGGGCAGGGTTGCCAGTGCCCCGCCTGGCCTGGGATCGCCTGTGCGCAGCTCCTTCAGAGCTCAGGGACCACGCGGAGGTTGTAATTGGTCTCTAGGCCACACCTAGTTGTCGAGTGCTGCTGCTGCCTGAACATCTCCCAGCCCTACCCAGATTGCCAGAGCGCGCAGGCCGACCTTTGGGCACCAGACCCGAGAGGAACTGCAGAGCCCCGGCGGTGGAGGATTTTGTAAACTTTGCCAAGTGAGTGAGATGGCGCGAGAGGGAAGCTAGTGGCTGGCACCGAGGGGTGTCGCTGGGCAGGGCAGCAGGGCAGGTGTAGAGCTGGTCTGGTGGGAGGTAGCGGGGTTGGGGCCAATGCACAAGAGCACCATGGGGACACTGAGTACAAGATCGGACTCCTGCCCACCTCTTGCACCCCTGGCTAGCCGACGGCAAGTGATCCTCTAACTCCGCCACTGGCAAGTCTCGGCTGGGGGGTGGAGGAGGCTCGGAGCTGCAAGAGGGCTGATGGTGCCTTTGCCCCAGCGGGCTCTTCCCTTCCCCGCCTAGGCAGGGCCGCAGCTGGGGCTGTAGCCTGAGCGACGGGAAGAGGGTAGAAACCTCCGCCAGCCGTCAGCGGCGCGCATGGCATTAAAAATGCAGGAGGTGGTGAGAGGAGAGGGCTGGGGACGAAGACTGGCGTGGCAGCGGGCGGGGAAGAGCCGACCTTGGCTTATCCCTCTTTGGAGCCCAGTTCAGCCTAAGAATTAGGGCGACTTTGGGTTTAGGCCAGAGAGGTCTCTAGTGCCAATGCCAAGAGAGCATCTGCCTCCGTTTCCCGTGTAGAGGTCCCGGACCACCTAGGACAGGCCAGCTCGGCCGCGCCGTCCTCTGCGTGCTCAGGGGCTCCCGGTGACTCCAGCGCAGGGCGATGCCGGCCTCGTCCACCGTCCACGTGCTGCAGCTGCTGCGGGAGCTGCTCGCCTTCGTGCTGCTCAGCTACACCGTGCTCATCGGGGCGCTGCTGCTGGCCGGCTGGACCACCTACTTCCTGGTGCTGAAGTGACAGCGCCGACGCGCGCTCCCCGCCCCCGCCCCCGGCCGGGGAACAGAGCCGGCGCTACTCCCGCCCCCAGCGCACGGCTAACTCCGTGCCTCACGCCCGACCCGAGACCACTCTCCAGCGTCGCGACGCCCGACTCGGCTCCGAGCCCTCAGGCCGAGAGGCCGAGAGGCCCCGCGCTGTAGGTCCGGCAGTTGGGCCCCCAGCACACCCGTTACAACCGTTATTCTAAGCTCCGCCTCCCCTCCCCGTTTGCCCAATCCCGACTGCTTCCTCTGGTCGGGGCGTGGCCATGAGTCCCGGTACGCGGAGGTGGAGGTCGCGCCCCGCCCTCTGCCCACGAGTTTGCGTCACTTCCGGCGTATGCATCCGGCGTCCGCCCGCCGCGGGATGGCGGCTCTGAGAACTTGGCTGTCGAGGGGCGTAGCCTCTTTCTTCAGGTACCAATGCGACCGCGTAGTGGGCAGGACCAGGGATGCGGGGATAGACGTAGAAGTGCTGTGGCCCGGTCCGCGGCACCCTCTTGGCTCGACTGCTTTTTCCTTGTCGGCCGAACCGGGCCGCAGAGTCACGCCCTGGTCAGAAGTCTGAGGACACCAACCCCCGCCTCCATCCTCGCATTCAGTTCCCGGGTTCCTTTCTCTTCAGTATCCCACTCCCCAAAACAGGACCCCCAAGTCTCTTGGGCGCCAGCCACCTCCCATCAATCCCGCGAGTCCCTGAGGGGAACTGAGGGAGCGGGGGGAGCCCGGGACGCGCTTCCCGAGGGCGGAGGGTCCGCTCCTAGCGCCGCACAGCTCCTGGGTCTTTCTGGCGGGGACTGTCGGACACACTGGGAACCCGGCAGTCCAGCGCTAAATCCTACTCGGGAAGCGTTTGTTTGGGCAAAGGCCCTACTTAAAGGCTTTGAGGTTACCATTTGAACCTCTTCGGCATCTGTTGAAAAGCCCGCTTCCCCGTTGCTGTGCCTGCGGCGAGTCAGGTGGTTGCCAGGCCGCCCCGCCCCGCGCTGTCCCGATCTCTGGGAAGGCCGCCCTCACGTCCTCCCTGGTGTCCAGGCCTTGGAAAGAGAGCCGGGCGTTCAGAAGGGGGGTGGCACCTTGCAGTTCGACTCGTGTTTCTAGGTACCGACGCTGTCTTCCTGTCGTGGCTAACTTGAAGAAGCGCTGTTTCTCAGAATTGATAAGACCATGGCACAAAACTGTGGCAGTTGGATTTGGTGTGGCCCTGTGTGCAGTTCCTATTGCGCAGGTAAAGCTGTCGGCTGTACCTTGTCCTCGTGAAGTCTCACGTGGGCAGTGAAGCCTCAGACAAGCTCTCACCCCTTTCCCACATGAGAGTCTTTCTACGTTACCCGCATCTTTTCAATGTTGAACACATACATTAATACTCCCAGTGATTGGGGCGGTGCCTGTAGCTCAGTGAGTAGGGCGCCGACCCCATATACCGAGGGTGGCGGGTTCAAACCCAGCCTCGGCCAAACCGCAACAAAAAATAGCCAGGCATTATGGCAGGCGCCTGTAGTCCCAGCTACTTGGGAGGCTGAGACAAGAGAATCACCTAAGCCCAAGAGTTGGAGATTGCTGTGAGCTGTGACTCCACAGCACTCTACCAAGGGCAATAAAGTGAGACTCTGTCTCTAAAAAAAAAATACTCCCAGTGATTGTCTCATTAAGTAGAAACAGTACATCAAGTTATTTATTGAGCAATTTTTATGTGCCATACACTGAGAATGTAAGGGTGAGCAAAACAAATTTCTGCCCTCATAAAACATTCTGAGGAGATAAAAGGGAGAAAATAGAAATATAAACTGTCAGTTGGTGATAAATGCTGTGAAGAAAACAAAAAGGGTAAGTGAATAGGCAGAACTGTCAGGAGATTGTTTTGTTTTAGTTAGGGGTGGTCTAGAAGAGTAACTCTAATAAGGTATATACAGAGAAATGTTCTGAAAGAATGAGCCATGATATTATCTGGTGAGGGTATAAGGTCTTGCCAGGCAGAAGGAACTCAGAAGTGCAGGAGTTGGCCAAGTGCCGGCGGCCCAGACAGTAAGATCCTTGAGCTCAGAAGTTCAAAAACAGCCTCAGCAAGAGCCAGACCTGTCTCTGCTAAAAATAAAAAAATTAGTCAGGGGTTGTAGTAAGCTCCTATGACCCCAACTACTCAGGAGCCGGAGGCAAGAGGGTTGCTGCAACCTCAAACTCCTGGGCTCAAACAGTCCTCCTGTCTCAGCCTTAAGAGTCTTGCTGTGTCTCCAGCTGGAACGCAGTGGTATCTTCACAGCTCACTGCAACTTCAAACTCTGGGTGTCCAAGGCAGGAGGATCCTAGAGCTCAGGAGTTAGAGACTAACTTGAGCAAGAGTAAGACCCTATCTCTACTAAAAATAGAAAAAATAAGTCGGGTGTAGTGGCAAGTGCTGGTTAGGAGGCTGAGGCAGGAGGATTGCTTGAGCCCTGGAGTTTGAGGTTGTTGTGAGCTATGATGACCCCACTGCATTCTAATCTAACCAGGATGATGAGAGCAAGATTCTATAAATAAATAAATCCTTTCCTAGTTCCTGGCCAACAACATCTCCCTCTTCTGGCCACTTATTACTATATATTTTGATATTTGATGATAATGCCTTTGGCACTCTCCTGAGTCAGCAGAGCATAACGAAAAGGGTACATACTGTGTATATACTGTAGAGTAAGATTTGGTTTGAGGTCTAAGTGTATGACTGCTGGGGAAAGTTACATAACTATTTTGAACTTCTATTTTATCATCTCTGAAAAAAGAAGTGGTAATACCTGGACTGTTGTGAGGAATAAAAACACATCATAAAATGTAGCACATTATGAAGACTTATCAGAATATTATGTCAAAATTAGCTTCTTATAAGCAGAGATAACAATATTCTTCCCCTTTGTAGCCCTTCAGTACAAGGTACATAATATTTAATAAATTGATTCAATATAAATGTGATAAATAAAATTCTTGGTTTGGTCATGTATGAAAAGCTATTTTTTGACTCTTGCTTTCAAGATGCAATGATTCTGGGTGTTTATACTCTAAATAGCAAAATCAGTACAAAACATAGAGTTGGGTTTTTTGCTGTTTCTGATACAATCAAATACTGCTCTGCTGAGGAGGAAAAAGGCAGAGTGGGGATGGCCTGTCATTACAGTTGCCAGTATGTAGTCAAGGTTGGCACAGTTCCTTAACTCCTGAGGTAGTTAGACATGTGTATATCGATCTTTTCTTTGTTAACCTAATAATCTGAGGTCAGAGTGAAGAGTACCTGCCTCCTTATACTGCTCATTCTTTACAAAATTGCTCTCCCCCATCCACTCATTTAATTTTTGGACTCAGCTTAATCCTCATCAAATAAATGAATCTTTTCTTTGTTTTTTTTTGGTTTGTTTGGGTTTTTTTGGAGACAGTGTCACTATGTTGCCCTTGGAAGAGTGCCATGACATCATAGCTCACAGCAACCTCAAACTCTTGGGCTTAACAGTTCTCTTCCCTCACCCTCTCCAGTAGCTGGGACTACAGGCACCTACCACAATGCCTGGCTTTTTTTTGTTGCAGTTGTCATTGTTTAGCTGGCCTGGGCCTGGTTCAAACCTGCCACCCTCCATGCATGTGGCCTGTGCCATAACCACTATGCTACAGGCGCCAAGCCAAATGAAACCTTTTCTAAGCTATTAATTGCTCAGTATAGAATTGATTTCTCTCTCATGTGTGTCCCACTGTACCTATGTAGACTTCTTAGAGCTTCCATTATACTTGGAAGTATAATTCATTCATTTTTCTAGTTCTCTTTTAGAACTCAATGTTCTGCTTTCCTTGCTCCTGCCTGAAATCTCTGAGCGCAGAGAATATCTCTTACTCATCCTTATATCTCAAGCATCTACCACTGTGTTAATGAGCAAATCATAACCTCATGAATTTGTGGATTTATAATTAGCATTTTATTTTTTAATTTTTGTTTATTTTTATAGACAGGGTCTCACTCTATTGTCCAGACTGGAGTACAGTGGCACCCTCGTAACTCAGTGTGATCCTGGACTCCTGGGTTCAAGTGATTCTTTCACCTCAACGTCCTGTGTAACTGGGACTACAGGCACATGCCAACACACTCAGATAATTTTTTTCTATCTTTTTGTAGAGATTAACGGTATGTTGCCTAGACCTGTCTCAAACTCCTGGCCTCAAGTGATCTTCCCAGCTTAGCCTTTCAGACTTTTGGGATTATAAGCATGAGTACCACATCTAGCCACACTTATTTTATATAAAGAAATAACTTTCCTTTGGGGAACAGAATGAAAGCAGGTAAAAAGCATACTCTGGAATTATTTCCCTATATTGTCTTAAAATAGCCAAAATAAAACCTTAAAAAAAGTTAACCTAGGAAGTATAGTGCAGTTGCAGCTTAAAACATTAAGTAACAATGAGAATTATGTTTTTTACTTGGCTGGCTGTAACACAGTCCTCAGCATGAACTTTAGGTTAGAAGTTGAATGACAATGTTTTGGGTTTTTTTTCAGAAATCAGAGCCTCATTCCCTCAGTAACGATGCATTAATGAGGAGGGCAGTGTCTTTGGTAACAGACAGCACCTCCACCTTTCTCTCTCAGACCACGTATGCACTAATTGAAGCTATCACTGAATATACTAAGGTATGTTTCTTATTTTAAGTCTTGATCTTCAAAGCCAGAAGTTAATAAACTGTGGCTCACAACCAAATCCAATCCAAAGCCTGTGTTTGTATTTCATTGGAACATAGCCAGGTTCATTTGTTTATGTATTGTCTATGACTGCATTCAAGAGTTTGAATAGTTTCAACAGAGATTCTAAAGCCTAACATTTACTTTCTGGCCCTTTACCAAAATCTGAGCCCTGATCTAAATCACTGGTTTTTAGACTTTTTTCAGAAAACTTTTCTACAGAAAAATCTTAAACATGGCAACCAAGTATATAAAACGAGAGCCAAGCTGTTCTAGTTCACTTAAGGATAAATGGATCCAAAGTCCATCACTAAAGGCTTCTCTGTGAGGACAGTTTAAAAAATAGTAATCTAATTGAAAAAGAGAGTATGTGGATAATCAGAATCAAAAGTATTTAAAAGTTTCAATTATTAACATTTATTTTACCCATATTTTCTACTAGCTTTTTTCTCAACTTTGAGTTTTCCCTTTGCATTATATTCTCTTATGTCTGAATTGCTAAAAAGCTTTAAGAAACACAGAAGTTTATAGGTGGAAGAACTAAGGTCCTGGATTGATGGCTTTACTTCATATGGTAATGGTAAAACTTCAGGAAGCCAGGACTAAGGAGCCAGTTTGCTCTAATGAGACTTCACTAATCCTGATATGCTTCATTTTACTGAGACTTATTTATTCTATATTTGTAGGCTGTTTATACTTTAATTTCTCTATACCGACAATATACAAGTTTACTTGGGAAAATGAATTCACAGGAGGAAGATGAAGTATGGCAGGTGATCATAGGAGCCAGAGTTGAGGTATGCGAAAAGTTATTAGACATGTCTGTATTAATGTCCTACCTCATTGTATTATAGTATCTAATATACTAAATTACATTTAATCAATCTAAACAGTAACTATTCTCTAACCCTACTTTGCGTAAGTCCATTCAAATGTGCTAAACCTCTTCATGTTGTCTGAAGCACTTTGCTTAATTTACAGATGACTTCAAAACAGCAAGAATACTTGAAGCTAGAAACCAGTTGGATGACTGCAGTTAGTCTTTCAGAAATGGCAGCAGAAGCTGCATACCAAAGTGGTAAGTTAAAGTTTTATTTTTTTACTAAGGAGATGCCATCTGAGTTTCATCTTTTTCTAAACTGAGAGATTTACATTAGATTATCTAGTTGATGGTCCATTGTGGCTCTAACTTTGTAAGAAATTTTTCCCAAATTTTTACAAATTTCTTTGTAAGAAATTTTGGCTCGGTGCCTATAACTCAGCCACTATGCCAGCCACATACACTGGAGCTGGCGGGTTCGAACCTAGCCTGGGCCTGCCAAACAACAAGTACAACCAAAAAATAGCCGGGTATTGTGGCAGGCCCCTGTAGTCCCAGCTACTTGGGCTGAGGCAAGAGAATCTCTGAAGCTCAAGAGTTGGAGGTTGTTGTGAGCTGTGATGCTATGGCACTCTACCAAGGGCAACATGGTAAGACTCTTTCTCAAAAAAAAAAAAAATGGCGGCACCCATAGCTCAATGGGTAGGGTGCCGGCCACATACATCAAGGCTGGCTGGTTTGAACCCAGCCCAGGCAGCTAAACAACAATGACAACTACAACAAAAAAATAGCCAGGCATCATGGTGGGTGCCTGTCGTCTCAGCTACTTGGGAGACTGAAATAAGAATTGCTTAAGCCCAAGAGTATGAGGTTGCTGTGAGCTGTAACACCACAGCACTCTACCAGGGGCAACCTAATGAGACTCTGTCGAAATTTTTCCCATTTCTAATATATTAACATACTAGTTGCTCAGTAGGAAAATTGAATAGCCATGTACAGCAAACCAGTAGAAGTTAGGTTCCTAATATCTTGAATAAGAAAAATAAAACCATTGCCATTGGAAAATCTGATTGCTTCCAAATAGTTTAAGCATTTTTTTTTTTAAATAATCCAGGCAATTTATTAAGTCACAAAATGACAGAATTAGATGAGACCCAATCATCCATCTATGTAGACTTTTTTGTACAAATGGAAAAAGTGAGACCTGGAATCATAGTGAGTGGCAAAAGTAGGAAAAAATTTGGAGTATTTATCTTTTTATTTTTTTATTATTTATTTATTTATTTATTTATTTTTGGAGACAGAGCCTCAAACTCTCCCTTGGGTAGAGTGCTCTGGCATCACAGCTCACAGCAACCTCCAACTCTTAGGCTCAAGTAAGTCTCCTGCCTCAGCCTCCCAAGTAGCTGGGACTATAGGCACCCGCTACAACGCCCGGCTGTTTTTTGGTTGCAGCTGTTGTTGTTTGGCAGGCCCAGGCTGGATTTGAACCTGCCACCTTAGGCCTTAGCCACTTGAGCCACAGGTGCCGAGCCAGGAGTATTTATCGATTTCAGGTTTTCATAGACACCTTATATTTAATCCTCACAGTTCCTATAAAGTTTATCTTTTCTACTTTAGAGATGAAGAAACTGGGGAACAGATGAGTTAAGTAATCTGCATAAGATGCCTTGGTATGATATATAAGATGCTTAATTGAAATTCATTTGAGTAGGTCAAATTCCACAGTCTTTTTTCCCAGTAGCCAAGGCATTGTCCTCATCTTAGTGCCTCCACGAGGAAAATGCAGTGATTTATTCACCACTTTTCTGAACATTATCTATCCAGTGTGCTTGAGCTAAGTGGTTTTTTGAAATGTATTTTGAGGAAAACCCTAGTTTAAAATCTTACCTAATTAGTTTCAAACAGGTAGGCTCACAGAAATTACAGCCTAGAATCAACTCTTACTAAGAAACTGGTGTGTAAAAATAACTTCTTTTGTTTTCTAATTTCAAGATAGCACACTAGCATCTCTAGCAGAAAATCTTTTTTTTTTTTGGCAGAGCCTCAAGCTGTTGCCCTGGGTATAGTGTTATGGCATCACAGCTCACAGCAACCTCCCAACTCCTGGGCTCAAGCGATTCTCTTGCCTCCGCCTCCCAAGTAGCTAGGATTATAGGCAGCTGCCACAAGGCCTGGCTATTTTTTGGTTGCAGCCGTCATTGTTTGGCAGGCCTAGGCTGGATTCAAACCCACCAGCTCAGGTGTATGTGGCTGGTGCCTTAGCTGCTTGAGCCACAGGCGCTGAGCCTCTTTTTCTGTTTTTTCTTTTTTTTATTTATCTATTTTTTTCTTTTTCTTTTTTTTTGAGACAGAGTCTCACTATGTTGCCCTAGGTAGAGTGCTGTGATATCACAGCTTACAGCAAACTCAAACTCTTGGGCTCAAGCGATTCTCTTGCTTTAGCCTCCCAAGGAGCTGGGACTCCAGGCATCTGCCACAGTGCCCTGCTATTTTTTTGTTGCAATTGTTATTGTTTAGCTGGCCTGGGCTGGGTTCAAACCTACCAGCCTCAGTGCATATGGCCAGCACCATAACCACTGTGCTACAGGCGCTGAGCCTCTAGTAACAAATCTTAAAAAAGATTTTTTCTTTCATTTAAGTAAATGAGTGCTCCATAACCATACTGAAAAAGAAAAAGGAATTCTTTTGGGGGAGAGGGTGAGATAGAGTCTCACTATGTCACCCTGGGTTGAGTGCCATTGTAACCCAAATAATCCTCTTGCCTCAGCTTCCGGAATACCTGGGACTATCAGAGCCTACCACAACACCCATCTAGTTTTTCTGTTTTTAGTAGAGGCAGGGTCTCCCTCTTACTCAGGCTGGTCTTGAACTCCTGAAGGAATCTACCCACCTCAGCTTCTCAGAGTGCTGGGATTATACATCTGAGCTACTGTGCCTGGCCAGATAAAGAATTCTTAATGAACTAAAACCTCAAGAATCAGAGATTCTCTGGCTCAGCACCTGTAGTTCAGCGAGCGATTAGGGCGCTGGCCACATACACCAGGGCTGGCAGGTTCAAACCTAGCCCAGGCCTGTGAAACAACAATGACAACTACAACCAAAAAATAGCCAGGTGTTGTGGCAGGCGCCTGTTGTCCCAGGTTCTTGGGAGAATCGCTTGAGAGAATCGCTTAAGCCCAAGAGTTGGAGGTTGCTGTGATCTGTGACACCACGACACTCTACCAAGGGTGACATAGTGAGACTCTCAACAAAAAAAAAAAAAAAGAGAAAGAAAAGATAATCAGAGATTCTCAAAATAGGATTGGAACAAAGAGTTGAAACAACATTAAGTGTGAAGCAGCATTGGTGTCACAACAAGGTGGCAGTGGAGTTCTCAGGTGCTATAAACAGGGAGATATGTTGAGCTGTATAACATCAGGAACCTCCCCTGGTAGCCTTCACCACTTGCCTCAGCAGCCTAAAAAGTGAGAAAAGAGGGAGAGAAATGTATAAGCAGTATCTGAAAAAAAAAAAAAAAAAAAATAGAAATTTTCCTAGAACTAAATGAAAGGGCTCACAAAAGTTTTGAAAAAAAATTGTTTTAAACACAAGTAAAATTATATTACAAAAAGAGTCAGAAGAGCTGGGTGCAATGGCTGACTCCTGTAATCCTAGCATTCTGGGAGGCTGAGGTCAGAAGAGCTGGGTGCAGTGGCTGACTCCTGTAATCCTAGCATTCTGGGAGCCTGAGGCGGGTGGATCGCCTGAGTTCACAGGTTTGAGGCCACCCTGAGCCAGAGTAAGATCTCATCTCTAAAAGTAGCAAGGCATGGGCAATGCCTGTGGCTCAAAGGAGTAGAGCGTTGATCCTATATGCTGGAGGTGGCAGGTTCAAACCCAGCCCCGGCCAAAAACTGCAAAAAAAAAAAAAAAAAGAAACAAAAGTAGCAAGGCATTGTAGTGGGCCCCTGTAGTACCACTCCTACTCAGGAGGCTGAGGCAAGAGAATCGCTTGAGCCCAAAAGTTTGAGGTTGCTGTGAGCTATGATACCACAGCACACTATGGAGTGTGACAAAGTGAGACTCTGTCTTAAAAAAAAAACTAAAAGAGTCAGAAAAATCCTAAAAAGCTACTAGAAAGAAAAAAGATTACCTAATGAGGTAGAATTTTGCCTTATTCCTTTTTTTCTTTTCTTTTTTTTTTTTTTTTTTTCGGAGACACAGTCTTTGTTGCCCTTGGTGGATTGCCATGGCGTCATAGCTCATAGCAACCTCCTACTCCTGGACTCAAGTTATCCTCTTGCCCCACAATGCCTGTCTAGTTTTTAGAGATGGGGGTCTCTCACTCTTGCTTAGGCTCTCTCGAACTCCTGACCTTAATTTACCCGTCCCTGCTTACCTGAGTGCTAGGATTACAGGCATGAGCTACCACACCTAGTCAGTGTTGTCCTTGATCAGCATCACTAGATGCAAGGTGACAAATCAGTAACTTAAAATTTTATATCCAGGGCAGCGCCTGTGGCTCAAAGGGTAGGGCACTGGCCCCATATGCTGGAGGTGGTGGGTTCAAACCCAGCCCTAAACAAAACTCCAAAAAAAAAATTAAAATTTTATATCCAGCCATCATTAAAATTCAGACATACAGGCCAGGTGCTGTGGCTCACACCTGTAATCCTAGCATTCTGGGAGGCCAAGGGGAGTAGACTAGCTCACAGGTTTGAGACTGGCCTGAGCAAGAGTGAGACCCTATTTCTAAAAATAGTTGGGCATTATGGTGGGTGCCTCCTAGCTACTTAGGAGTCTGAGGCAAGAGAATCACTTGAGGCCAAGAGTTTGAGGTTGCTGTGAGCTAAGGTATCCTACCAAGGGTGACAACTGTCTCTCTCTCTCTATATATATATATTACTATCTACATATGCTTTCTGTAAAAACTATCATATAATAGCCAGGCATTGTGGGGGCCTCTCCAGTCCCAGCTACTCAGGAGACTGAGGCAAGAGAATCACTTGAGGCCAAGAGTTTGAGGTTGCTGTAAGCTATGACGCCAGGGCACTCTACTGGGGGCAAGAAAGTAAGATTCTGTCTCAAAAAAAAAAAAAAGAAAGAAGCAAGGTAAGACATAAGAATAACAAACAAAATATAAACAAAACTTTTCAGAAGTTCTGAGTGTAAAATAGATTTTTAAATACTCAAAGCAGCTTGGGGAAGAAGTAAAACAATGCTATGCTTTCTTATTTGGAAAGATGATTAAATACTACCATAGAATTAGTAGGGGT